TCTTCTTCTTCTTCTTCTTCTTCTTCTTCTTCTTCTTCTTCTTCTTCCACCTCCTCTTCCTCTTCTTCTTCTTCTTCCACCTCCTCTTCCTCTTCTTCTTCCACCTCCTCTTCCTCTTCTTCTTCTTCTTCCACCTCCTCTTCCTCTTCTTCATCTTCCTTTTTTTTTTTTTTTTTTGAGACCGGTTTTCTTTGTGTAGCCTGTCCTGGGCTTGCTTTGTAGACCAGGCTGTCCTTGAACTCACAGAGATCTGCCTGCCTCTATCTCTCTGAGGTCTGGGATTACATGTCTGTGCTACCACACCAGGCTGAGCCATACGTTCTAAAGGAATTTGGTTTTGGCTGTTAATGGTATACTGTTTTGAAGGAAGTGATTTTTTTTTAATTTAAAAAAATTGTATTTAAAAGATAAATACATCATTTCTCCCTTTAGTCCCTCTCATGTTCCCAGTTACTCCATTTCAAATTGATGACTTCTTTTTTTTTATTATTATTGTTACACACCTGTACATACATATACATATACATATACATATACATATACATATACATATACGAATACAACTTGCTAAGTCACTTTACTATTTCTTGTGTGTATATGATTTTAGGACTAAGCATTTGGTATTGAGAACCGGTTATTGGGCTCATCCCTGCCAAAGACTAGTTCTCACTTTCTTAGTAATCATTAGTACCTTATAGTTCAGTGTTAGAGGTGTGTTTCTGTGGGATTTCCCTCTTTCATAATAGTATGTCTATTAGTGTTGTCAGTACAGGTCTTCTTTAGGCAGCCATAATGTTGAAGTGTCATTGATGTAGCTTTCTTGTCATTTCTAGGAGATACAATTTCACAGCAGACTCTGGCTTTTACAGTTTTTCAGCCACCTCTTCTGAGATGGTTCCTGAGCCTTTAGGTACAGGAGTTGTGTTGTAGATGTGTCCATTGGTGTTGGACTCACCACAATGAAATGTTCTCTGCATTTGACAGTTGTCTTCTATAATGGCATGGTCTCTACTGCTGCAAAGAGCCACTTTTTTGGTCAGGGGTAAGAGCCACACTTCTGTATATATAAGGATGAGGTTTAGGATGCAGTTAGGAATTGTGCTGGTCTAGTAAAGTGGCTGTAGTAAATTCTCCTATAAGATCCATCCCTCACTATCTAGGAGTGCTTGGCTAGGGTTCTAGTACCAGGCATTGTTAGTATTTTGGAACACAGCCTGCTCCTGGGTTACCCAGCAACTTAAGATGTCATCATGTGTCACCAGCCAGGTGGCCACACCTGGAAGGCGTGGTTACCTTGCCCCTTAAAGGGCCAACCCTGACACGTGGTCTCTCTCTTACTCTCCTCTTACTCTTACTCTGTCTCTCTCTCTTACTCTCCTCTTGCTTTCTCTCTCTCTTTCTCACTCTCACTCGCTCTCTCTTACTCTCCTCTTTCTCTCCCTCTCTCTCTTGGGGTGCCCCCTTCCCTTTCTTTCTCTCTCCCCACCATGTCCTGTTTCCCCCTTCCCTCCATACCCACTTAATAAACCTCTTGTAGAGAAGATCGGTCGACCCAGCCTCATGTTTCTTTAAATAATAATTAATTGGCATGCTTTCTTGAAGGGAATAATTTGAAATGGTCTTTGAAAAGTGTGAGATAGAGATTTGGTGTTTGCCAAAGCTATTGCGTTTCATGGAGTAGAGAGCACTCATCACTAGAGAAAAGCCAGAAGAAATCATGTACATATATGGGGAGCGGGAAATCACTTTTTCACCCATCATTTGCTTTTTTTCTTACTATTGTTTCAAGCAGTGAAGCTATTCAGATACAGTTTTTATAGTTGTATAAAATGTAAACAAAATGAAAGTACAACTGCTTTGCTATCACAACTTCATCTTCCCATAGGCCCTTCAGCTATCAATACCCTATCTAGAATTAGTTAAAACAGTTTGGGAGATGAGAAATCCAGTAGGATGGGCTGGACTCAGTAGGAAAGATGAAGTTGCAGAGGTTTCATTGTCATTCGTACTTAAGGATAGGAGCTATCATAGTCATCTTTGAGCCCACAGCCCTCACCTGTTAGTTTCCTGACATTTGTCAGACTGCTCTTGATTATTGGATAATGACTAAAGCCATATATTAAGCAAGCAAGAATTAGAATGTCTTATAAATGCTGTCCATTTTAGGCAAGGCTTTTGGCAATGTGATAAAGAATAAATGTCAGAAAAGATGAAATAAAAATGAAGGGACATGTTGGACTACTGCAATGATAATAGTGTCAGATTTTCTTTTCATTTAGCTTGTCGCTGTTTCTGTGTATTCTTGTATAACATCACCATTTAACAGGTGTTTGAATAAATTACAAAGCTATGTCTTAGAGCCAATCATTTTCTTAAATTTCTCAGTTCCATTATTATTTACAATGTTTAAATTTGATGAAACTAAGGTTTTTGAATAATTTATCTGGCTTTCAGTATCACATCAGTCATGAATCTAATGACTGGCATGTTAGCCTTCTCAATATTATTTTTTAAATATGGAGTGTGTAGCTTTACATTATTGGTTTTTATAGGTAATGAAGATTAATCATATGCACTTCTGTTACTTAATAGCTGTTAGATGTGTTAGAGATAAATGCTTCTCAAAGGGCTCTTACATAATTTTTAAACTTTTTATTTTTCAGTCTGATCTTGTGGATCAAAGTATATTTAATTTTATCCCAGAGGGAGAACATTCAGAGGTTTATAAGATACTCTCTACTCATCTGCTGGAAAGTGATTCGCTAACCCCTGAGTACTTAAAATGTAAGTAGGTCCTACTCAGCAGAAACCCAGGCTTCTGCTTGGCAGCATGATCCTTTAGCTCTGTAAATTTATGAAAACTATGACATACTTAACTAAATTAAAGTAGCACTGTTTCATGAACTCTTTTCAGTGCTTTTTAAATGTTGATGTATATGCACAACTAAAGGATACCAGATTGGGGCTGGAGAGATGGCTAAGCAGTTAAGAGAGCAAACCTCTGCTCTTCCAGAGGTTCTGAGTTCAATTCCCAGCAACCACATGGCTCACAAGCATCTCTAATATGATCTGATGCCCTCTTCTGGTGTGTAGGTGTACATGCAGATAGAGCACTTAAATACATAAATCTTTTTAAAGAAGGTACTATACTAGGTCTATCCTAGTGTACAGTGAAGTCTCATGTGTTTGTTGTAACTGATTACAATTATGCCACACAATGGTGTATAAAAAGAAAATCGGCCATACGTTTTAAATTTTTAATTGAAATCTTACTATATTTAATGAAATAATCTTCGCAAGTGAGGCGTTTCTGTAGGTTGTCTGGAACTCTCACTACCGTCTCTCTTGGTGTGCTAGTTTCTGTCATACAGGTTCTTACATACTAGACTGTGACGGGGGACACATTTATTTTGGTTCATTGTTTAGAGAAGTCTAACGTGCTGGAGTGGACTTGGTGGAGCACAGATGTGCACAGCATAACAGCTGGGAAAGTAGAGAAAGGCAGGAAGGAAGAACTTAGGAACATACCTGCTGTGGCCTACTTCCTCCAGGCTGCCCTCCTCCTGCAGTTTCTAGCACCTCCCTCAGTAGCACTAACACCTGTGGTCCTTTGTGCGGACAGTGCATGTGCAAACCATCGTAGTCGCCCTGAGTAAAAGTAAAAATTGTCAATCTGGAGGTAGAACTCGCTGGTGAAGTGCTTGCCTAGAATGCACGTGATCCTCAACTGAGTACCTCTAAACTACAAAACAAACATACAAACAAAAGAAATGTGTGTATGTCTAAATTTAGTAGTACATCATTGTGTTTATGTGACCATAGCTATTAGATATTTTCTTTAGTCAGTTTTTATTAGGTTTAAATTTTATTTTATTTGGTAATAGTAACTTAAAAGATTCTGTGGATTTGTGTCTTCAGATTCAATAATATTAAGAACTAAAGATGCATGTACTTATGTACATAAATGTGTGTGTGTGTGTGTGTGTGTGTGTGTGTGTGTGTGTGTGTATATCCATGTTAAGAATGGTTAGTCTTTTAGAAGAAGTTAGAATTGGAAACTTACTTGGAGCCTGTATATAATTGTTTGTAGACAGATTTGCATTACACTGGTCCTTGGACCATTGTAATATGGTAGTTAGAAGAAAGATTTGGGCTGGACTAAATATAGAAATCAATTACATGGCGTTAAGCAGTATTTGAAGTCACAGAACAAATGGTGTTAGTTGAGGCAAATGTATAGAGAAAAGAGAAGTAGTAACTTGTCACTTGAAGGTGCCAACAGGACAAGGAGCAAGGAGCTGGTTTCAGGGACCTTCAGAAGAGCAGAATTACTCAGAAAACTGCATATAAAGCTTCTTCTCGGAAGATAGACCTCCTGCTTTCAACATCAGAGAAGTCTTAGCTCAGTGTCTTGCTGATGGCCTCTAAAAGAGCTGGTACACAGCATCCCCCCCCCCCCCCAGTGAATTAAAATACAAGCTACTTTCCCTAGAATAGTTAGTAGGCTCTTTTTAGCTGAAACAATGATGAGTTGGTACAGATGATGGGATATTTGTATAGGAGCTGAGGCAGGATTATAAAGGACCTATTTTTCATCCTATGCTGTTTAATTTTTATTTTTTACACAGTAGAGAATCAGTGAAGGCCATTTGGTTTTGCAGTTGGAAGGGAAAAAATCAAGGTAGAGAATTTTGAAAAGGATCATATTAGGGACAAAAGGGGAAAATGTATAATTAACAATAAAAGCAAGGATGGAGAAAAAAGAACATGATTGATAGTTTGGTAGTAAAATATGACTAAATCAAAGAAGGTTTTGAAAAGATAATGATAATTAGAATTTGAACCTGTTGAGTTAGGTGATAAAGACACATTCAGAAGAGCGTAAGTGTGATGTAGTGAGCAAAAGAAGAGGCATTACACTCATGATATGAAACTGTCATACAGAAGATGTAGAGACAGTGAGAAAAACATAGGCAGTAAGGAGCCTCCCGAGGTCAGTGACTGTAGAAAGGGTTTTAAAAGTTCAAGTTCAAAAAGTCTTTGTCAAAGTATCTGGTGCTGATCAGAAGTTAGCAGAATACAGTAATGTAGGAAGACAAGTTCATACTGGAAATGAGGAAGAGCAAGTTTTAAGACTAGCTAGAAGTAATGAGAAAAACTACTTGAAGTTGATGATATGAATATCAGTAATATTTGGGAGAATCATTGTTTTTGAGGTGTGCGGAAGTTAGGGAAATATCTACACAGAAACCAGAATGCATTTAATATGGAATGAGTTCTCTGATTTCATAGAAGGATTAGCATGAAAACCCCTTTGTTGAAATAAGAAAGACCTGATCAGATTTAAAATGGTAGGAAATAAGGAACCAAAGAAAATTTGCAGTTGCTAAAGGGATGATTACCAAGTGGCAAGGCCCTGGTCCTAAAGAAGGTGGGAAAAACTCTTCAAGGTAGAAATAGAAACAGTAAGCCTGCAATGTTAACACTGGGAGTCTGAAGCGAGGGAATTAAAAATTCCAGACTGTGTTACTGGAAGAGACCCGCCAAAAAGCAGCAGTAACAGGAAAGAAAGGGAGGCATTGGCTTTAAATGGAGGACAGAATGCTTTTGTGAAGTGAGAGTGAAAAGCAGGACAGGAGAAAATGGAGAGACTAGCTCTGCTGCCTGCAGTCCTCTCCTGCTGCTGCTCTACCGCTGTGGACTGAAGAAAGTGACACTTGTGTCGGAGAAAATGGCTGTGAACTTAACCCAACTTCTTATCATTTATTTCAGCCAAAAATCAGTTAGAATTCTGTTGTCACATGCTTCGAGGAACAATAGACCCAAAGGAGCCATCCACTTATGAATATGTGAGATTTATAGGAAATTTTAAATCTTTAAACAGTGGTAAGTTAAAAATGCTTCTTTTATAATGTATTTTAACTGGCTTTTTACTTTTTCAAGTTCTTAGATGTTTAAATATCAGGAATGACTATGTGTTACTGGATTAACCGCTGATACATGTTTCATTGCCTTTTTAGTATCAACTTCAGCACACAATGGTTTTGAAGGAACTATACAACGCACACATAGGCCTTCTTATGAAGATAGAGTTTGTTTTGTAGCTACTGTCAGGCTAGCTACACCTCAGTTCATCAAGGTATGTTTCTGATTTTAATTGCTCTAGTGCATTCTAGTTCATGATATGAGAATTGTTCTTAAAAGATTTTTGTTGTCTTCAGAAGATTGAAACTTCTATCAACATTGAAGTTATTAAATATGCGTGAACTTTGTGTTTACCATAGTGAAGGATATAAGCACTCATTAAATATCTAACTTTTTAAAATATATTCTTTGCAAGTATCCCATGGTAGCATAGTACCATGTCCCTGCTTTTGTATAGAGTTTAGTGTATGGCGTCCACTATTATCCTTAAAGAAGAAAGTTAAAAAAAAAAAAAAAAGTGGGTGATTTTTTTTTTATTTTTTTAAGAATGTGGCTTTACTGGATATAATTTGCTATTTCATTTTTAAAATTAATTATTTTAAATGTATATGGGTGTTTTGTCTGCATATATGTTTGTGTACCACATGCATGCCTGGTGCCAAGTAGCTTGGGAGGTCAGAAAAGGGCACTTGATGCCCTGAAACTAGAGTTACATACTAGTATATAGTTGTGAGTTACCATGTAAATGCTAAAAATTGAACCAAAGTCCTCTGCAAGAGCAGCCAGTGTTCTTAACTGCTACTTCATCTCTCCAACCCATGCTCTTCGAAATTTAAGTTCTCTATTTTAATTTCTTGCACCCATAAGCAGATGATTAGTAGGGAAGTAGAAACATGTAACTGCTCCAGTCCTCGGAATAGGAAAGAAGCCAGGGTGCCATTTACAGTTTGGGTGATGCTATAGTATAAGACAAAGTATTGAGTTAGCAGAACGTCTTCAACTAGTCTTGCTCTGCACTGTGTGCTTCTAGGAAATTGGAGGACAGCTGTGTGCTTTATCTCACCTAATTCTTACACTGTGAGATAGGCGCCATCATAATATTTTATATGGAAGGAAACTGAGGCTTAGGGAAGTCACTTGCCAGAGTCTCATCTAGTACGTGGGACCTGATTGTAATTGTTCTTTCAAAGCCCCAGCTTTTAACTGTTACAGAAGATCATGTAAGGATGGAAGGGGAAGACTGTTGTACGTTGCTTTGTACAACAGAGGCTAGGTTTAATGTATGTGAGGAGCGGAATAGTCAGAACTTGAGTTAGAAAAGTAAGCAGAGGTTGGGCCTGAAATTTGTGTGTATGTGGTTTTTCTCCATGAAGATATTGCAGCATGAACCATAGAAGAAGTTTAAACAGGGAAGTTATATACTCATATTTGAATATCACTGAGGTAATGGTAATGGCCGGCCCCCGAATAGAAGACAAATTGAAGGGTGGGAAGACTGGTGAGATGCTGTTGCAGTGACGTGAATCAGTGAGGGTCACTAAAGGTGAAATGGAATGTATTTTAAAATACCTAGAAGGTAAAATTGAAATATTTGGGAGCTAGAGAGATGGCTCTTACAAAGAACTACAAAGAAGAACAGTTTGGTTCTCCAAATTCATGTATGGCGTGCTGTAAACTGCAGCTCCAGGGCATGTAGCACCCTCCTCTGGCCTCCATAGGCACAGATGTGACATATACTCAGAGAGACGCTCATATGTACACATAAATAAGAACAAATCTATATTAAAAAGCGTATAGTTTGGCCATTTTGATTATGGAATAGTGTGTTGCCACTGTAAAGAAATGATGAGATGAGAAGTTGTAAGCTGTGTATGAAAAGTAAGGCAGTTGGCCTGTCTGGGGCCATTTTCAGACACAGAAATGGGAAGCGACGATCAGAAGATTCAGATTTAGAAGTAGGATCTTAGGTATGTGCGTGAGTGAGAACGCTGTAATATCTGACCTGAGGCTGGCTTCTGTGAGTAGATGTTTTTTATCTGTTGTTGTCTCAGATGATTATAAGAATTGTTGGGGATCAAACCTAGGACTTTGCAAACTCTAGACTAGCACTTTGTATCTCCAGCTGATCACACTTGTGTTTAATATTCGTAAAATGCTAAACTAAGTGTTTTAAACTTGTGTTTTAAATGTATTAAAATTTGTCTAGATGAAAGTTATTTAATAATGACTTATGTTAACAGTATTTAGTATTTTTCTAAAACAGAAAATTACTTCTAAATTATGCTTGTTAATTTCTTTGTAGGAAATGTGTACTGTTGAAGAACCCAATGAAGAGTTTACATCTAGACACAGTTTAGAATGGAAGTTTCTGTTTCTAGATCACAGGTAACATCACCTTTAAATTATACACACACAGAGAAAGGTGATACCCATGTAATTCTGGACATTTATGGACTTCAGGAATAAACTGTCTGATCAGGATTTTGAAATTCGTTGTCCATTTTTGAATACAAATAAAACCCACTCCCTAAATTAATTTCTGGCTGTAGTGTCACTTGTGGAAAAGTTGTAATACTGATTTTTTTATTATTATGTAATTTAGGGCACCACCAATAATAGGCTATTTGCCATTTGAAGTTTTGGGAACATCAGGCTATGATTACTATCATGTGGATGACCTAGAAAATCTGGCAAAATGTCATGAGCATTGTAAGTAGATCTTAATGTTTCTATTGAGAACTATTTTAAAACGTACAAGTAGACATTCTGTTTTATTAATAAGGGACAGAAAAGATTTAGAACTACTTTTATAAATGTATACAGAAGGAACAAGTTTATACTGTTGACCTTGTTCTTATTTGCAAAGGAAAATCTTATAATATATTAAAGAAGTAGAGGAAGTTTCCCAAATCAATTTAATCACGAAACCCAATTTTTGCTTAACATCAGTTAAAATACTTTAGCACCTAACAGTTAAAATACTTTAGAACCTAACATTTGGACTAGTTTGGGAAACTCTACGTAACATTTATTTCAAATAGCTGGGTATGCTATAGCATGCCTTTAATTCTAGTACTCAGGGAGGCAGAGGCAGGCGGGTCGCTGTGAGTTTAAAGCCAGCCTGGTCTAAGAGTCCAGGACAGCCAGGACTACACTGAGAAAAAACCTGTCTCAAAACACACACACACACACACACACACACACACACACACACACACACACACA